TATCTGCGTTCGCGTGTGCGTGCATGTGCGCGTGTGTAGGCGCGCGCACGCGTGCGTTGTATGTTCGTTTGCGTGTGCGCACGTGTGTCTGCCAGCCCACGCGCACGTACATGCAAACACGCGCGTTCTCCGCCGTTTGCACAAGAGCGTTGAGTTTCGGCGTTACTTCGGGAGTCTGGGAGCGTGAATCCGGGAACACGTTAGCGTGATATTGCAATCTCGCAGAGTGCTTCGGCGACAATAACTGTCGCTGCGATAGTAAAAACAATTGGCTGCGAAGTCGGCAAATAAACTCGACATAATACGACTCGCCGATTAAGACTCAACATGCACCACGACGTCTCTCACCGGCAGACAATCGCACTCCACACTACTACACACAAACTACAACGCGGTATTTTATCTAGACGCCTGCACCCTCCACAACCCCCGCCTCCCGGCTGCAAAGGGCAAACTGCGATGACATTGCCACACTCAATTATGGAACGCTCAGAGTTGAATAGTAGCCAATCATCTTCCCAACGCGATCACGCTACCGCCCCCGGCCGAACGTAAAGAGCAAGCAAGCTGCATCTATAGTCAACCCTCCTGCACCTTATAACAGCACGCGGCACCTTCGCCCGCGTCCGATTATATACGGACTGGCTTCATAAGTCGTTGTCGCGTGATGAAGAAGATTCAGCATCTATTAAAGGGGTCAGCCACGAAAAGGTGATCATTTCGGGGCAGCGCCACGTAAATGTAGTACATGGTGGGATTGCTTTTCGATTTCGGGAGATTAGGATTATTGTGAGTGAGCTCAGCAATATAGGAGAGGGTAGGCAATGCCTTATTACCTATAATACGATGTTGATGAAATAAATAATTCTGAAAAAATTCAGAAACGTTCCTAATTACACTGGACTAGGTCTTCAGGCACCGCAGGGGCTACGCGGATAACCATAATATAGGGGCGGGTGGACATCCACGCACACACCAAAGCCATTGCGGCTGCGGTGTATAAACAACCAAGCACTGCCGCGCACAGCTGTGAGTGTGAGCTGTGAGGTGTGAGTGTGTAAATGTGGTATGTGTGTGCGCGGGTGCGCGTGTGATTGTGCGTGCGCATGCCCGTATGTGTGTGAATGTGGTGTGTGTGTGTGCGTGCGCGCGCGCGTGTGTGTGTGTGTGCGTGTGTGCAAATATTTGACAACGGGAGATGTAACCCTTATTAAAATGATGCTTCTAACCAGAATGATATTTTCAAAAATAATATCTAAGTAAGTGAAATTGTACTATGAAATCACCGCATTTCCCTTTTTTTGAAAAATTGTATGTCATTTTAAGGTAATATTTCAGATTTTATATATATTTAGACAAATATTATATATTTTTAAACAAATATTGGAATATGACTCGAGTCTAGATATCAGTATTTTTCGTTTACTGTAAATACATCCTCAAATAAAAGTGAGAGATAAATGGTTAAACCGCCATCCCCAAGTCAGACCCCACTCGAACCCGTCTGGAGTACGGGTAATAGCTAGTACAATAAGAATCGCCACCCGCGATGCGATGCCCGCCAAGTTGCGCGTTTCCCATTATCAGTCCCGTTCAATTATCGCTGCTAACGTGCTCCGAGGCTTCTCTCGCCCAGGGCGCACCCTTTCTCCTGCACGGCATCGCTTGAACGGGGGGAGGGGACATTTGTGGTCCTTCTGCCCAGTAGCTATCCCCCAGCCCCCGCTGCGTCTAGAAGCAAGAGATGATAATCGAATTTCATTCACATGTTCCGTCTCGCGAGATACGCTATGTTGCTCCTCTGTTCCACCTCCCCCTTTCCCTGTCCCTCCTTTCCCCACCGCTATCTACCCTGCTCTCTCTCTCTCTCTCTCTCTCTCGGCTGGAGTCGCGCTTGCACCACGGCATATCTGCACTTCACCTCCACCTTCCCTCGCTGCCACCTACCCTGCCTTCTCTCTTTTGGCTGGAGTCAAGTAAAATGTGTGTTTTTCTTGAAAAACACGTCAAAAACATTAATTATCTACCGATCGTGTGACCAAAATAATAGTGGACATTGTGCTTCGTGAAATCACGTACATGGCCTAAACAAAATAGGGCGCAGCCTTTATAAAGCTCACCTCGTTGCATGACTGAGCAGCACGTTTTATAACTGAAGCAAAACTCCAGGTTGTACGATAATGCACTTGGTTTGAATGTTGATAAAAGTGCGCGTTATGATGTTGGAGGACGCTCTCATTAAATTAGGGATTTAACCGGTTCTTTCAATCCTGTACGATTTCAACATAAGTTACTGTCTTTTTAATGTGAGCTGCCTTCGGTGCGAAAATCATTCAATCAATCGTTCTTATTAATTAAAGTTACTAATTAAAGTTGAAGCTCTTCGATTAGTTTCGAATTCAAGTTTATAATAAACGTTATTAAAAGTTAGCTCAATTTGTGTTTCATCACAATATACTCTTTTCCATATTTCTTTATTGGATCAATATATTGATGTAAATAGTTGTTACAAGATGCCAATAAAGCCATTATTATATTATTACTCTTGTATGTCTAGATCTGAAAGGCGGCTGATCAAAATGGGACAAAATTAATCAGTGTTTCCGCAAGCATGAGGAGTCTTTTGCTGAATGTTCTTCGTACTGTATTTTTGAGCGAATCCGTTGCATATCGATGAAATCTAGCGGGGTCTTCGTTTTCGTGATTTGACCCCCAAATTACGAAAACGAAGACCCTCATCAAACTGCCAAAATACCATATTTTACACGTCAGGGCACTAGCAAACTCTTCCTCGATGTTGTCGTACTAATGGCCTGGTTGAGGAGGTCTTCGTTTTTGGGTCTTCGTTTTCGAGGTCTTTGGTCTTCGGTCTTTGTTTTCGAGGTCTTCGTTTTCGTAACACTCGTAGAGAGATATGGATAGCACGACCCGACGTCACGGGTGGCAGCCAGGACAGTTGGAAAGGGAGCGACCTATGACCAGCGGCCCTCCGAACACGTGTCCGTATTTGTATATTAACGGAGCAGCGGAGATACGGAGCGACTTGAAATTTTAGATGAATAATTTAGAGTCTTTTCCTCATGCGGGTACCGTATTTGTATATTAAAAGACCCGTAAGCAGAGAAGGACGTTCCATCGCCATCTTGGCGCAAGCTAAAAGCGTCCCATTATTAGATTTCTAGTCCACCATAGCGTTTACACTTTACGGTCGCTAGCTTTTAGCGACAAACGTATGACTAAGCGAAAGGAACAAGATACTCCCCGGGAGTGAGGCCAAACCCCCGGAACACGCCCCACATTACCGTAAGTGTCGCCATATAGTGACATAAATTGCCCATGCGCGTCCCAGGATCAGAGAGGGTCCTCGCAATAGTTATCATCGTGAAAAGTCGTGTTTTCGTGTGCTCCCGGCATTCATCTAGTCTGTGTAGTGACTTTCTGATTTGCTAGAATAAACCTATAGTCCGTTCACCACAATCACTTGTTTGTATCTACTGTGTGACACTGATAGTCTACTCATTAAAGCTCACATCTCTCACGCAATCCGCAAGAAAAACATTGATACCAACCGGGCAGAACCTAGTAAACCATACACACATCGAGAGCGGCATCTAACGTCTACTGCGGTGACTCTGTGGTGGAGTGGTGGGATTCTAGTAAACCCTGTTAGTCCCAAATGTGTTCACATACACGCCGAAACAG